ACCCACAAAACTGTAAGGTAATAAATGTGTGTTGCGCAGCCACTATGTTCGTTGAGATTTTTTTATGGCAGTAACAGGAAACTAAAACCTATTGTTAAAAAGTTGGTCCATCTTAAAATCAAAGAAAAACCTTTATTTCTGACAGAATTCCCGGTTCATTGTCCATTCCAAGTAAATCTTTCATCCCATACAGCTTCAAAATATATTTTTTAAAAAGTAAAACACAGGCTACCCCTCATACACGCGTCTCTCCAAAAGCTATATAACCCAAAACAAAAATGGAGAGTAAATCAAACTCAGTATACCCACTCAAAGAAGTATTCAAATCGGATTTATACATTCTTTCCTAAGAAAACAAACAAAAGCAGATTTAAAAAAACCAAGATGGTGAGAAGAATGTAGATCTTAATGAGGGCCGGACGAGATGTAGAAGAATTAATGAAATGCTACTAGAAGTAGTATTTAGAGACCATCAATATACATTATTTCTGACTTCAAGTCTGCTTGGCATTTCGTATAATCTGGAAATGCTAAAGTAAGAAAAGCGATTAGGTTAATGGCTTCTCTGGTTAAAGGCATGCCCCCAAAATACAGTTAGTTAGAAATAACTGGAAAAGATTTCTTTTCTTGTTGGAGAATATTTTCTTTATTATAATGTTTTCTTGGTTTGTTTTTCCTTGTTCTTTTTTTAAAAAACAAAGAATAGATAATAGTATAGCTTGGGCTCATATAATAATAAATAAAAAGTCCAAACTGAAGATATTAAAGGACTTCTACATACGGTACAGGGCATAATGAGAACAGCATAGAGACTGCACGTGACCCCCGGAAGAACCTGCACACAGACCCAGCTAGCTGGGAAAGCGGCCTGGACTTTTCCTCCGTTCACATGAATCACTAGGGGGAACAAACACTCTGCCTTTAATAATCACAGATCAGGATTGTTTGAAGATTCAGGGGACTACAAAGATTCAGCAGAGAACAAATTAGTGGAAGTCAGAAAGAGGACAGCTACAAGTATAATTTCTGCTAACGTCACCAGTTACTGTACTGAACTGTATGACACCATCCCTAACCATGACAACTAGAATATTTGTGTGAAAACCTACTGAGTGGAGTCTTAAGGCTCTTCTCTTCCATTGTGAAAAGACAATCATTGGTCATGGTCAGGAAGCAGTTCCCCTGACTCCCGGCGTCCTCTCCAGAGGGCTGCTCTCAAAAGAGCAAGCCAGGCGCCACCCAGCCGTCCATGCTTTCTAGAAGCTCAGGATGGGCTCTTCCTGCCCCCAGCCACATTCCCACGGGCGCTCCTGTCCCCGAGGCGAGGCCAAGGGGCAGCCCCTGCCACAAAACCTGTGCTACCCTATTCCGACTTAGAGCCTCTAGAATTGGGAGGGAAATAAACCTCTTTCTTCAGAAGTAGCCAGAGCCAGCTATTTCAGTGTAGTGTGAAAGCCTAATACACTTCTTTAACAGTCAGGTAATTCTAACCCCGTGCTCGTCCCTGCACACACACACACACACACACACACACACACACACACACACACACACACACCGACCGTCCGATTTTACAAGTCAGACAAGGAGGGGAGGCTGTATTCACTCTGACGCTGTCACAGACATACACCCCGAACGGTGGCCTAAAAAAACGGAATCTATTTCTCTTTCTCTTCACAATCCCAGGGGCAGGGGCAGGAGCACAGGGCTGGGACGGCAGGGACGTTCATGGGGTGTGGGAGGCCCCCCCATCTTCTGCTCTTCTGCCCGTTAGAGCAGCGGCTAGCAAGCGTTTTCATTAGAGGGCCAGAGGGACTGTCGTGGGCTGTACAACTCTGCGCGCACAGGGAGATGGATGAGGCACGGGTCTGTTGCGAAACATTTTGTTTGCTGAACAGGCCGCAGACTATTCGCAACAGCCAAGATACGGAATCAACCGAGTGTCCACTGGTGCACAGAGACGAGGCGGTCCAGGGACCGTGGAGTGTCAGCCAGCCACGTGAGAGGACGCAGCGCTGTCCTCTGAAGCACGGACTTCGTGTTGTCATAAGCCAGGCACGGAGAGACAAATTCCACGTGTTCTCACTTAGTGTGGAAGCTAAGAAGTTGGTGCGGCAGAGGAGGAGGTAGAAAAGTGTGCAGAGGGGGCAGAAGGAACGGGTGATGGGTGAAGGAGCGCTGCCGGGCGGCAGTAACTTCTAGTCCAACCCAGGAGGTAACCACAGCCGGCAGTGATGAGCTGCATCCTGCAAATTAGCTAGGAGACAGGATGGTGAACGTCCCCAGCACAAACAGGCAATGAACGCTGGAAGTGATCGGTGTGCCAATACCTCGATCTGATCATTACACACTGTACATAGGTACTACTGAGATGCGAGGGGCCAGGGATATAGCTCAGCGGCACAGGCGTCTGCCTGGCAAGTGCAAGGTCCTGAGTTCTATTCCCGGTACCAAAAAAAGAAAAACTAACTACTGAGATACTGAGCCCTTTAAACATGCACAACTATGTCAGTTAAAACCAAAACATGTTTTAAAAAGACGAAATAGGCCGTGCTCCGCTGATTCCTGTCCTACAGCTGAGGTTCTTAAACGTGCGTTCAGCCGGGCTGAGGATCTCACCGAAAGGCGGGTGCGCCCGAGGCGGTCACTGGTGGCTGACCAGCTCCGCCGGGCAGGGCCTCGGGCGTGGCAGCAGCGCTCCCAAAGCTCCGCCAGCCCCAGCCAGAGCAGAGGCGGTGGGCGGGGCAGGACCAGCCCTTCGGGAGCTTCTGCGCAGGCGCACGCAGGCGCACGGCGGCCACGCCCAGGCGGGGCGGAAGCGCCCTGCGAGGCCGCGCAGTACTTGCTGCCTCCGGCTGCTGCCTCGCTCTCCCGCCTGCGGTCCGTGCAAGCTGCGCTGGTCGCAGCCTTCCCCTCCCTCCTCCAGGGCGCCCTCCTCTCCGCCTCCGCTCGCTCCCCGAGGCGGTGGAGGGGACCCCC